TGGACAGCCTTCAGCGCGTCGCTGTGACGTAATCGGTCTACAAATGCGGCCTCAGGAGGAAGCAGCCCTTGAATTTGGACACGCCCTCAGTCTTCCTGTTAGCGCGCCTGTCATGTCTGTTGGTCACATGATCAGTAACTGGAGGTTCCCGTATCGATGCATCAAAGAGTTCACTCATCTTTGCTTTGGTCAGCACAGAAGCAGCTTAACATTATTAAAGGCGCTAATGTGCACGTCTCCATCAGCCTTCAGGGCCACAGGAGGAAACACCACAACGGGCTAATGTTCACAGCTGTGCATGCTCAGTGGGCTGTCTGTGCTGCTGGAGCCTTTTGGGACATTTCAATAACATTATCTGACCAATGACACGGCTCCTATGCAGTTACTGTAACAGACCGTCCAGGAAGTCTGAGTATGCTGACTATGCTAGCTAGCTAGCATTAGCTGATAACTAATTTAGATGCAGTCACCTGACCCAAACCCAACATGGCGGCTGCTAAAATGCCAACAACAAGATAATGTGGAAACCAGTGAGCGAAGTCACGGTGGGTATAGCCATCTTTTTATACAGGCTATGGCTTCCATGTCAAAGAAAGTCAGAGATCCAGCACACAAACGTTTACCTGTGACTCCAGTGACTCCTCCCATCCAGTAACTTCCAAAGCTGAGTTACTGCTCAGGTGAGGCAGGAAACATGCAAATGTTTGATTTGCAAACGAGCTGATTTTCAGCTTCGTCTGTCAGCCGGCACCACCTGCTTCACAGGTGTGTCTCAGAAGGCTGCTCCTCCCAGAGTCAGGGATGGCATCCAGAAAGCTCATGCAAATATGGCTACAACCAATCAGCAACCAGATGTGACAGGAGGGGATAAAAACGAACATCAAGCCGACAGAACGGCAAACGTTTGGTTTGAAATAAAGAAAAGAGTGTTTGTCGTCTTCTGCTCAGGCACGTGATGAGAAATGAAAGTGACGCCTGTTCAGCATAAATCCATAAAAACCACCATCATGAGCAGGCAACCACATGGCATACGGCGGGACAGCAGCCGGCCGGGGTCCGACCTGCGGCCCGTCGACCGGCAGCCCTTTGCCTCATGTCTCCCTCTCCGCTCCATCTACAGCGTCTGTGTCCAATAAAGTCCAGAAAATGAATAAATCTCTGCACAGGCCAACACGACGTCACGTTAACCTCACAGATGACTTTAGAATGAGACGTGAGAGAGAAGCTGAGCAAAGCTTTTAAAAATCCCACCCCCGCCAAGATGTGGACTGGAGGTCAGAGCTGCGGGTGGACTGTGGCGGTGCTAACGTGTAAACGTAGGCGTGGACAGAGAAACTACGGGGCCCGCTCCAGCTGGACCGAGACCAGCGGCTCGAAGCCAGAGCTCCTGGAGCCCAGTCAGCCTGTGACACCAGGATCATTTATTTCTACTCTGAGTTTCAAAACACCTCCAACTGCAAAGAACCGCGGTTTGTACTTTACTGTCAGGTTAAATGTCCCAGAAGAGCGCTTTTCTTCAATCGACAGCCACTCCTGAGGCGGAGCAGCCTCAGTGACATCATGAGGGGGAGGAGCTGGAGTGCAAGTGGGTTGTAAAAGAGCTTGCAGAGACGTGTTTGAACCTACGCTCAGTTTGAGTTTTTTCAGGAATAAACAGAGTCTGACAGCAGGGTTTGTCTTTGGTCTCCACGTGTACCTGGCTCGCTGCTGTTGTCGCCGCTGTGAGACGCGTGTCCTCCGCTGGCCGGTCCCGGCGTCCCAGCCGACCTGATCGATGCCGAGTCGTTGTGATCTGTGCTCCACGAAACCTGCTGAAACAAAAATGGTAAATGGCCTGTATTTGTGTAGCGCTTTACTAACTTACTTAGTCCCTAAGGACCCCAAAGCGCTTCGCACAACCAGTCATCCACCCATTCACACACTGGTGATGGCAGCTACGTTGTAGCCACAGCCACCCTGGGGCGCACTGACAGAGGCTGCCGGACACTGGCGCCACCGGGCCCTCTGACCACCACCAGTAGGCAACGGGGGAAGAGACTGTCTGAGCCGGGGCTCGAACCGGCAACCTCCCGATTACAAGACGAACCGCCCACTCTTGAGCCACGATCGCCCCTAACAACAAACATTCATCAGGTCTGTTTCCAACTGGATCCGACGCTCCCGCAAATGCCTTCACCTCTGCCAGCGATGCTAGCGTCCGGTCTGGAAAGATGAGCAGCTTCCATTAGTAGCTGCTGCTTTAACACGCACTCATCGTGATTAAGATATTTCACGCCGTCAGGTTCGTGCGAGGGTTTAAGACTCAGAGTAACGGGAAGCCTGGACTATTTATACACACAGAGGACTGAACACAGAGAAGAAAACCAGCAAAAACTATTCAAGTGAAACCTTAAAAAAGGCTGAAACATGGAAGTACTAAAACATACTAAACATGAACATGACTCTGGGAAACAGGAAGGATCAAACAGTCCTGTTATGCGTCCATAACAGGACGTACAGGAGCGTTTCTGACTCCACCCTAAACTCTACATGAGCTACAACAAAATCAGAGAAGACGATGTATTTTGTGCCTCACGAGTTGAGCGAGCTCACCCGATCCACGAGGTTCCCCGACGACCTGACAAAGTCCTCGCCGTCTGACTTGTTTCCGTCTCTGTCATCTATAACCAGGTCGATCGGCATTTTGCCTTTCAGACAGCTGATGTATCGATGGCAGAAGTTATCGCAGAGCTCGTGAACCTGGAAATAAGATGCAGAGGCGGGCCTGATGTGGAGATGCTTTCACCACCAAAGAACCACAATAAGCAAACAAAATCGGTAAAGTTGAAATCAAACACAGTGACGACGGCGCCGTGCTCAGGATTAAGCCGGGATTAGCGGCACGCTGTAATCGCAGCAGATGTTGGTTAGTTGGACTGACCTTCTCCAGCTCCAGGAGGTGGAAACGCAGCACCTGGATCGCCTGAATCATCTGTGAGAAACACAAATCCATAAATGCACACATACAGAACATACACACTGCACCGCTGCTCTCCTGTACTGTCAGATACATGACATGAAATCCCAGATGTTCCAGCATGATCCCATTACCTTTGAAGTGCTGGTATTCCCCCCGGGACTACATGACTGGGCTTCATAGAAGCTCAGAGGCCAGTTAGGCTGAGAGTGTGCTACCTGCAGCTACCCCTTTAAATGACTCACCAAGTTATCGAGCTCTGGGTTGGATGAAAACAGCGGCTTCTCCGAGCGGATCTGCACACACAGACAAACGAGGATGATTATGGGAAACCTGCAGAGCGCATCCCGGTGATGTACGCTCATCACGTTTGGCTTAAAACGCTCTGAAGTGTTTAAAAGTCCTGTTTTGTCTCCAGAGACTGAAAAGTCACAGCAGGTGGGATGAATGAGGCTTTCTCAGGTGGCAGAAGCTAAAGCTTCAGCCACACTGCTGCTGGAGCTTTAGCTTCTTCTCCACGAACCCTCCACCCTGATGGGCAGGGCCCGCCTCAGACATGAACCACCGCTTCCTGTTCACCTGTTTGGAGAAGACGGCGATGTCCTCGCTGAAGGAGTCGGAGGAGCAGACGTCTCCCCCGGCCACGGCGCTCTCCCTCGGCGTGCAGGTTGCCAGTTCACATTTCTCAAAGATGAGTGCGAGCAGCGGGAATAAAGGATGTCTGCAGGAGGAACAGAGGAGGAGGAGGAGGTCAGACGGAGCTCCAACACGTTTCCTGCTGCTGAAACTCTATCCGACAAATCTGTCACACACTGCTGTGCACGGTTTCACTTTAAACGTGTCTTCTTCACAGGAAGTTAGTCCATTTTTTTCCTTCCAGTCTTCAAGCTCAAAGCAACTCTTTCATCTCGTTCTTCGGCTTTTTCCAGGATCCCTGTGAGCTCGCTTCGGCTGCAGGAAGCAGACCGAGGAGGCTGCCTGTAGGAGCTGCTTGGCCTTCTTCAGACTTTCTATGTCTTTGTGTTTGCTTACGCTGCACTCAGGAATACCATGGCCTCTTTAGCAGAGCACACTGAAGACTTTACAGCAGTGCAGCCTCGCTGTGTGGAGGAGGCATGAATCTGTGTGTGATTGAATCTCCCACAGGAGTAAAACAAGGAGCTCAAACAGCAGAGGAGGAGTGAGACTTTGAAAAAGGGACTGAACAATGTCGACGCAAACCGCTCATCCATCAGCAGAGGGCACATTTGAAGATTTTAATGACAACTTCTAAAGTTCTCTGCTCTCGCAGTGCTAGCATGTAGCTCGCTACAGAAGAGGAGCCAGCACAAAGGGAGTCACGGCTTTTAGGTGGCAGGAAAATTCACACAAGGACTGTGCGAAAAATGTAAGACAGACAAGACCAAACTCTAAGATTCATTTCAGAGCTTTACAATCAGGAATGGTCTGCACGTGATGAACTGCTTAAATATACTTTTATGAAACTTCTTCTTACCAACCCAACTGAAGTTAACTGACCTCTGATGTCATCAACAGATTCAAAAAGTCAGGAGAAATCTGCTCTCTTTCTAGTCCCTGTCAGGACTCTTGCTGCAGCATTTTGGATCAGCTGAAGGCTTTTCAGGGAGTTTTTAGGACTTCCTGATAATAATGAATCACAGTCGTCCAGCCTGGAAGTAATAAATGCATGAACTAGTTTTTCAGCGTCACTCTGAGACAGGATATTTCTAACTTTAGAGATGTTGCACAAATGGAAGAAAGCAGTCTTACATATTTGTTTAATATGTGCGTTGAAGGACATGTCCTGGTCAAAAATGACTCCAAGGTTCCTCACAGTGTTACTGGAGGCCAAGGTAATGCCATCCAGAGTAAGAATCTGGTTAGATACCATATTTCTAAGCTTTTCAGGGCCGAGTACAATAACCTCAGTTTGATCTGAATTAAGAAGCAGAAAGTTAGCGGCCATCCAGGTCTTTATGTCTTTAAGACATTCCTGCAGTTTAACTCATTGGTGTGTGTTATCTGGCTTCATGGACAGATAGAGCTGGGTGTCATCAGCATAGCAGTGTAAATGTATGCTATGTCTTCTAATGATGCTGCCTAAGGGAAGCATGTATAATGTAAACAGAATTGGTCCTAGCACTGAACCCTGTGGAACTCCATAATTAACCTCAGTGTGTGAAGAGGACTCTCCATTTACATGCACAAACTGGAGTCTATTAGATAGATATGATACAAACCACTGCAGTGCAGTACCTGTAATACCTACAGCATGTTCTAATCGCTCTAATAGGATATTATGGTCGACAGTATCGAACGCTGCACTGAGGTCTAGAGGACAAGCACAGAGATGAGTCCACTGTCAGAGGCCATAAGAAGATCATTTGTAACCTTCACTAAAGCTGTTTCTGTGCTGAGCTCTGAAACCTGACTGAAACTCTTCAATAAACCATTCCTCTGCAGATGATCTGTTAGCTGTTTTAGACAGACAGATATTTTAATGATCCCACAAATCTACAACACACAGCAAAGAAACAACACAGTTAAACAAAAGTGTTGCGGACGCCCAGACTAGTGCAGGAATTTACACACTTTCAAGAAGGAGCCGTCTCATTATTGCTGCCACACCTTCATCATCCCTACAGCTCAACACCGACATGTGATACACGAGGAAGAAAACAGCTCAGTGATCAACACTGAAGCAGCAGCACTTAATCATTACAGGTCATAACACACAACATTAAAACAAAGTCAAACACAAATCATGATGTTATATTTTAGTACAAAACTTAATTTTGTTGTTTTTTGACAGCAAAGTTAATTAATAATCTTGAAGTATTAATTTGTCATTTATAACAGATTTTTAAAATTTGAACGTTTTAGTTTTGTGGCATTTTAGGTAAAACATAACAGCTGATCATGAACATATTTAAATACAGTGAAGACGTTTGTGACAGGATCAAACTCAGACTATGAAAATATGTTGGACAGATGCTTTAAATGTAATATAAAAATATCAACCGTGATTCTCATAATTTATTATTTACTCTATTAAAATGTTTTACAATTGCTTAATTATTGTTTTTAAAACTTAATTAAACAAGAGAATATTTAACATTTTAAAGACTCGCTTCTACAAATCAGAAGATAATTAAGTATTTACATTTTACACACACATGTGCAAAATGTAAATACCTAATTATCTTCTGATTTTATTTTTTTACACATATATGTAAAAAGATAAATAAATATACATATATATTTATTTATTTTTTCCATTGTTAAGACAAACTGATGTAATAAATCTAAAGAAATCAAAGAGTCAGCTGCAGCCGTCCCCTGCAGGGTCATTAATACAAATGCAGCTGAGAAACATGAACTCAAACATGTCGTTTTTACTCTGAAAACGAAGTTTTTCACTAGCAAAGCTGTGACAACACGTTTGATAGGAAATCATTTTTATTATGAGAACACTCAAAATATCAGGAAAATGCTGGGACACACACACACACACACACACACACACACACACACACACACACACACACGCTGCTTCAGGCACGAGTTTATTTAAACACAAACAGAAACGCTGCAGCACAGCAGAGACGATGGATCGTTAGCGGGTCAGTGTGTGTGCGTGTGTGAACTTGCTGAATGAGCTCCTGTGTGGTTAAACCGTGAACACGTCCTTACCCGTAAATGGCGTCTTTGTCCCTCTTGACGGTGTCCCCGGCTGTGGCGGCCATGTTGCCGCCGCTGCTGTGGGTGGACTGGGCGTACTGGTGTGGAGGGTAGGTGGCGGCGGCCAGGTGAACAGCATGCAGGGAACGTGCAGCTGCAGCGGCGTGAGGGTGGTGGTGGGGAGGGTCTCCATACACCCCCCCCACCACGTCCAGCCCGTAGTGGGCGAGCTCTTCATACTGAAACACAGATAAGAGAGGTGTGACCTTTGACCTCCTCCTCCGTCCAGTCAGACAGAAAAATCAGAAAAGCTGAAAAACAGCAACTGCAGGTGTTCCTGTTCTTTTGTCCACCCTGCTGCGATCCAGACGTTTTCCCAGATGTTGGAGACGCTTCAGCCCCAAAACTCAAAGTTTGAGTCACGTCAGATTTCACTCAACAGGTGTTCCTATTATTCTGTCCACCCACGTTTACGTGCATCAAAACTGCAGCAACTCAACGCGCGCGCGCGCACACACGCACACAGGCTGTGGCCAGAATATTATGAACACAAACACTCAGCTGAAAAAAGGTTTGAAAGTTTCTGAATCACAAAAAACTTCGCATCACGAAAAAATTACAAATCATAAAAATAATCCTGAGCGAAAGATTCAATTTATAAACTTTCACCAAAGTTTGTCAGCAAGAATCTGTTTATGATTCAGCGTAAATTTAATAAAAGACACAAAAGTTACACTTTTCTCGAATTAAAGGACCATAATTATTATTGTTGTTACATTGTTATCATATTAGTATTACTAACATCATAGTATTATATTATTATTATTGTTGTTATTTTTTAATGTGGTTGTTAAAAATAGAAGAATATTAAAATAAACGAATAAAAACGTTTTTTAGTAAATTATTTCCGTTTTCGTTCTTTTTAATTTTCGGAGTTTGAGAAAAAGACAAAACGAAACGAAATTCTCGTTCGTTCAAAAAAATAATAATAATAAAAGGAAAGAATTAATTTGTTTTTATTTAGAATAATCACGGATATCAGATTTATCTCCTTGAAGCAGAAGCTCAATGAAAACATCCGGATTTACCGCTTTTATTAATCCGCTGGTTCTTATTTTCGCCGCACTTCTCATTCTGCGCTTGAAAAACTAAATTAAATTAAAATGAGATTTTAAATCTTTAAAAACAAAATAAAACAAAACTTTAAATGTGTAAAAATAAAACGGCGTTCACGTCATGAAACAAAAACGGTATTTTTATTTCCTCGTGACCTTTTCCACGGTCACGTTTCTCGCGGTGAAACTTTTTTAGTTGCTGAAACTTTTTCTTTGTTTTTCGGCGACTTTGATGAAAAGCGTCGCGCGGGGTTTTCTTGAAAGCAGCGCGTGCCTCCGCGCTCCGTTTATACCCACCCGTTGCGCCATCGGCCCCGGCTCTCCTCGCGGGCTCCCGCTGCCTCCCGCGGGGCCAAACTCGCATCCAAGTCCCGGTACCGGATCCCGAATCCCGTCCGCGAGCCTAACAGCGCAAGCCCGAGCAGGAGCGGGGTCCCTCCGCGGACACACGCGGCCCTGCTCCGCTCCTCCGGCTCCAGCAGACCGAGCGGCGGATCGGTGAGCGGCCGGTCCGATCCGGTGACTCCAAAGCGGCGCTGAGGTGACGCCGAGCCGCCCGCGGAGCTCCGAGCCTTCAAATCCCCATCGCAGCTCCGCGAGGAGGCCGAGCAGGGGGAGGAGGGAGGGCCGCCCCCCACTTAAAGGAGCAGATTTCCTGCGCGTGCCCGCGGCTGTCAAACAGACACGGGGACGCGCGTCACCGGAGCAGTTCTGAAGTGAAAGTTTTCCCCAAACACATCGTGCACCTTCCTTCCCCTTACACGTGCGCGACTCTACTGACGTCAGACTTTGCGCGCGGGGCCTGCTGCCTGTGTGACGTTCTGACGTCATTAAAACGTTTTAAGTTTAAAACTAAAGAAATCCCAGTTGTCCTGTTTACACGGCGGAAACCTGCAGTCAGCTGACTCTGAAGAGTGACGTGATGATGACGAAACGTCCAGGTGAACGCATTCAAACTTTTGGATTTATTTACCTGGATGATTGAGCATGCGTCAAAACAAAGCAACCCTAAGCTTCATCTGCTGGTCCACTGCGCCCTCTGCTGTTCGCCGTCCGTCCTCACAGCTTCGTTTATTTCCGACCACCCTACCAAACACTCACGTTCTCCTCAGTCAGGTTTAAAACGGATGTTTATTCAGAATAAAAATAAAAATAATACATTCATCTGTGAACTATAAGGGCGACCGTGGCTCAGGGGGTTGGGAAGCGTATCTGTAACCGGAAGGTCGCCGGTTCGATCCCCGGGCTCTCTGTCCTGGTCGTTGTGTCTTTGGGCAAGACACTTCACCTACCGCCTACTGGTGTTGGCCAGAGGGGCCGCTGGCACGATATGGCAGCCTGGCTTCTGTCAGTCTGCCCCAGGGCAGCTGTGGCTACACCTGTAGCTGCCTCCACCAGTGTGTGAATGTGAGAGTGAATGAATAGTGGCATTGTAAAGCGCTTTGGGTGCCTTGAAAAGCACTATATAAATCCACTCCATTATTATTATACAATGATCGAGCTGCTTTTATTAAATGAATTAATATTTTTAGAGCTATTAAAAACAGAAATGTGCTGCAAAGATCACACAGCTGCCTGTTAGCCCAGAAACAGTTCCTGGAACTGTGAAAACTGTGGATTCATCCAGCCAAATCTCTGAGTACCCAAACTGGAGCTCCGCCTCCCCGGACGCTCTGTTAGCACAGTAACCTCACAGCAGCCATGTTATTGGTCACATGGTGTCTTTAAAAATGCTCCAACACCACAAACACGGTCCAGCTCAGGTGAAGCCAGCAGACAGCCGCCTGTGTCACCATTCACCTGTGAGTCAAAGAAGCCACGCCCCTAATAATAGAAACGGGTGAGTTGTAAAAACATCCTTAGGTGTTATGAAGGTAGAAATGTTTTACAGAGACGAAACAGTTTGAGTATCAGGATGTAAACATGTTTGTTTTAACATGGAGTCTATGAGGACCGACTCACTGCTGCCTCTGCTGGACGTCAGAGGAACTGCAGGTTTGGCGCTTCAGCGCTTGCTTCATTAATCAGCTCCAGATTAAGCCTCATTAACACACACAACGCTGCAGTTGCACAGTTCGGCCACCTGGTGGCACTGGAGCACATACTTCTATTAATGTGCCCACAGGCTGGAAGCAGACTGGGGCTCTTATTTTGAAGAGTAACTCAGCTTTTAAAATGAAATATCTGCATTTAAAACAAGGAAAGAACTGAAACAGACCGTTAAACACATAAAACATCTAAACGATTATTATTATTATTATTATACGGTGACGCCACGTGACTCTGCAGTCCTTCGGGTCTGACGTCACCCCGCCCCCTCCCGCTCCTCTCCGTCTGACTCTGAATCCAACATGGAGAAATGAGGAGATGGGGCTCGTCCGGGGCCATCCGCACCGACACCAGCGCTCCATTTTCGGTCACCGCATTCCAGCCCGCTCCGGTGGGGGAGGAGGTGACGGAGGAGGCAAAAAAGGCGGAGGTGGAGGAGGTGAAGGAGACTGGATGAGCTCCACTGATTGAGGACTGGGAGGAGGAGGAGGTGTTGGGGGGAAACACTCACCGGGATTAACGCCGAGGAGGCGCGGAGGGAGCGGGGGAGGACCGGGCGCTGCTCCTGCTGAGGAAACATGAGCACCGCGCGCGCCGCCGCGGTGGGAGCTCCTTATGACCGGAGGTGAAATGGGAAACATGAGCGAGGACACGCGCCCGGACGAGTGAGTACCCACGAGAACAAACGGGCTCATCTTCGTCCTCCTCCTCAGAGGGAGCTGAACGTGAACCTCCTGCAGGAGCTCAGCAGCTCCTCCATCATCACATGAGTCATCCTCAGAGGCTGCACGTGCTCAGCCTCATCTGGGCAGGCGCAGGGTGGCTCAGTGTGACTCCGAGGCCCGCTGATTTCACACACGCGCGCACACACACACAGGATCACTGTGAGCCACCCACAGTGTGCCCAACATCAGGGTGGTGTTTGTGTGTGGTGGGGGGCTCATATTTGATAAAACCGTCACGAGCTAATGGTTTGTGCTCACAGGTGCAGCACAACTCTGCTGCTCCAATTGGTCTGACTTTTGACCTTTTGGAGGGCGGAGCCAAATGTGATTGGTCCCTTTTACAGCCCTGTGATTCATTCACTGCCTTAACGCAAGTTTTGTGCTGATCCGTACAGGCCGAGCGGCTGTGCTGCCAGGTGGGGGCGGTGTCCACCTCTGTGTCCCGTCATCCAATGAGCTGCAGAGTCTGCAGGTCTGAGCTTGGCGTGCTGTTTTTCATGGCTTCTCTACCTCCTTTCCCCGCCACTTGTAGCCAATCAGCATTCGCATTGCGCACAGCCCAGCTACACGCTGTTGGGGGTTTTGGAGGACTGTAAACTGTTGGCCGACACCACCGCAGTGCCATGAAGCAAGCATTACAGCGTGGCAGCAAGATAAGCGCTGCTTCGCTGTAATGCAGTAAACTCACCCTGTAATCAGTCTGTGGCCCCGCTGTCGGGCATCGGCGTCTCCTGCAGCTGGTAGACCCAGAGTGACCCTCCACAACTGATCCTGGACTGCAGTCCAGCAGGAACGAGAAGCTAGCTGGGACTGAGTTCTGCTACAGCAGTGTCCTGCTGTCCGTCCAGCCGGTGAGGAAGGAGCTGGAGCAAGCTGGGTAACAGTCAAATTTTCAAAATAAGAGAGCCACTCATTTTCCTCTGAGACAAAAGAACAGCATAACGCTCACAGCTTTGACCAATCAGGTGCCACATCCACCCACCTGATGGAGAACAGTCAGACCCTGAATACGAAACAGAAGGCTGAAGGATGTCCGGCGCTCGTATTCTGACTGTGCTTTCGGCTCATTACGCCTCCTCGATCATTCCCAAGCTCCTAAATCCTTCATCTTGGTAGTCGTCCAACCACATAGCAGCTTTCAGTTTGATGCTAGCTGATGGAGCTGACTGGAAGGTGAAGAGTCAGGGAACGATTTTCTGCTGGAACAAACAGGCTCTGTCTCTTTTGGTGTTTAGAGCGAGTAGTAACTTCCTGTAATCCCTCCAGAACCATCTGCAGTGTTTCATAGTACAAACAAACCACTGCTGTTTGAACCCGACTGAGACAAACCCAGCTTGGCTCTTTGGTTTGAATCGTGCTGAGGATGTTCGGGAGGTTTATCAGGGAAGCCAACTAGGAGCCGACACTGGGGTGGACCTGAACTTGCTGGAAAGCAAGTCAGATGGACATAAACAAAAACATATAAAAGTAAAGCATCTTTCACCACAGACAGCGCGGTCACAAAGCTCCTCGCCTGTCAAGTAATACGTGTAATTATTACTTTTACTGCAGTCTGCTGTTGTTGCTGAAAGCTGCTCTTATTTCACCTGATCAGGTAGTAGCCGAGCTTGGTATGGAGACACAGCTAGCCACAGCAAGTGATCAAGCGTCAGTGATTTAGCCTCGCACGGCGAGGGTTGAGTCTCCTCCTGCTAACATCATCATGTGACGTAGACGAGATGGAGTTTGAAAAAGTTGTTAATAACTTGGTAACATTAGAAAGGAAAGCTGTGATGATGATGATGGAGAGAGGACGGCAGCTCTGACCATGTCCATAAAACAGGAAGTTGGGCAGGTGCAGGCAGAGCACTTTCAGATTAAAACCCCTGTTGACAGTTAACCACGTCACACTCAGTCAGGCGTGTTATTGTTACTTCAGTGAAGATGTCGGCCTGCGGTTCTGTTAACAGTCCGAGTGGCCCAGAGGACGAGGCTGGTAGTGGGTCTGGAAGTGTGGCTGGTGGGCGGGGTCACCTGTGATGGCCGTGGTTTACCTGAGACAGGTGAAGAGTGCAGACAGGCAGCAAAGTGGTGTGAAATAAAAATACTCGTGTGTTACTAATGATGACCTTTGACCTTTCTCCAGCCTTTGCTCTGAAATGTTGGCACGGGCCGTGTCTCCTTGGAGACCTACTCTGAGGTCATGACCACACAGCCTTCTTCTGACAGGACGTTTCCTGATTGCACCCTGATGTTCGATGATCAGCGACGTTCTCAGGGACGACAGTCGGCTCGTTCGGGTCTCATCTGGGCTACTTTGGGCTCAGTCAGTGGAAACGTGTTTGACGGCAAACAGAAGACACGAAGGTCTGTACCTTCCTGGTTCTGGGTGGTGTAGATGCCAGCTTGATGTGCAGATGTGGGTCGCTATCAGTCGAGGCTATCAGGAAAGCTTGATGTATTGATCCTCCGATCGAGTGCTGTCCTCTTGTCTGTGATAGTGTCATGCTCAAACCTTCAGTCCTGCTGTTTAGCTCTGAGATTCTTCCCCGTTTCACCAAAGTGAGGGACTGTTTTTTTATCAACTGATGCTCCAAACCAGCCAACAGCGAGCTGACGCCTTCAGTCAGCTGTGACCTGACAGTCTGATCCAAAGACTTTGGCACCTCGTCGCGCTGCTCAGCGTTTGAATTTGTAAGTTTGTTCACTTACAAAGTAAGAAACAGACTCGTTTTTATGGCACTTTCATTTTAATGGAGAGAGAAAGAAACCAGCAAACAAACATCCAGAAAAACATCATCAATTGATTTGCGTGTTCTTTGGCTCGTAGTTGTGTTTCTGTTTCACCGATACGACAGATCGGTGGTCTTGGTGACGGTGGTCCCCGCTGTCTTCATTAACAAGCTCCTCCCACCACCTTGCTCATGATCATCCTCACCCCATCTTGCACGGTGGTTGATGTTAGCAGTGACAGCAGCTGCAGGTTAACGTCCTGTGCAGAATGAGGTTGTGCATCCCTGGCGCCGTCCCTTTAAGCGGGGAAAATGGAGAATCAGTCGGTGAGGGACCGAAATCCAGTGTGTGTGTGTGTGTGTGAGGATGTGGTGTCGGCAGCAGCAGATCTCAACAGCCTGTTGTCAATGGAGACGGATGGGACACGGTGACCGTGGAAACAGGATGTAGGAGAAAGCCAAGCAGGAGAGAGTCTCGATTTTCTTCGTCTTAATCCCGCCCCCGTGTTTAGTTTGAGCTTTTTGGGGGGTTTTTTTGGGGGGGGGGGGGTTAGCCGCTGGCAGGTTTCATGCCCCGCCTCTGTGAATTTGCTCTGACTGCAAGAGTCTGATCTGT